GTAGGCGTACGTGAAGAAATTGTTCTCTGTACCGCGCCTTTATCAATTAACTATGCATCTTGAGAATAATCTAAACTCTATAAAAAATGCGGCACCCTTGATATACCGTATAATGGACTAACGGAATATTTTGCAGCGTTAGAATTTATGGATCAATTTCTTCCGCGTTTTTTATTGCAAATCAGATATCTGTTAGCTATTACTTTCCACTTTGTTCTCTCGTGAATGGTCAATGTAGTATAAATGTGTCTCGATGAAAGAAATCTTTACAATGCTTCGAAGTAGAATGATGAAAGTATCTCTATTGCTTAAAATACGATGTCATGATTATTACAAAATTTAAGATGATAATAGAATAAGAATGTAAAAAAAAAAATATTTTTTTCTTTTTGTGGTGCTTTGATATAGAATAAATTTTAGATATTTCTATAAATAACTTCTTAAGAAAAGAACTTATTATTTTTAAATTCGAGAAAAAGATAATTAGAGTCTACAAATATATTCTTTTAATGAAACTAGTGATTTTTTTTTTAAAAAGATGCAAATCCAGCTTTTCGAGAAATTAACATGAAACGAGCGAATTTGATTGTCGAAGCACAAAATACTAGTCTGTCAAGTTTTACGTAATCATTATAAACGTGACTCGCGCGCGCGGGTAATAATAGCGATCGGACTCTTTGATGTAGTAAAAGAGCAAAGACGGTCTCGTATTTTTAATAGCTTGATTGAATTGTAGTGACATGTTAGCATGCGTGGCATATCATCCTTACGACTGTCCGCTCATTAAGATGACGTAAGAAGCATTAAAGAGTTCGCGATCGATGATCATCGGGAGAATCAAAGCGTTTCATCAAGCGAGATATCGCTTTTCTACGGTATATTCTCATATAGATATTCTTTTGTGCTGTAAAAATAGTCGATGTCACGAAGGATCATTTACGTTTCGCAGCTATTCGCTAGAAAAATGGCAATTATACTGGTACATAACTCCTTTTTTACGATTGCAGCCATTGCTAGTATTATTGTCGATTATTCTGGCATTATTAATATCATATCAGCTAATAAAATATCCGCTTGTACAATTATAAGCTGATTGATTATATCCTATTATACGATAAAAAATTATATTTTGCCAAATTGCAAATATTATTATATTTGCTAATTATCATATTCTACTCATTTAATAAAACAGTTGTGTAATATTTATACTATTCAGTGTAATTAATCAACCGATGATTCTTCCTGTTATGCACGTTGTTTTTTACATTGCCATCGAAAGAATGTAATCTATCGATGAAAAAGTGGAATTTTTGCGAATGATCTCATCGTAAAATACATTGTGAAGGGATTGAACGCGGAACTGTAGATTGTATATGGCTATGGTAATAAATCGATACGATTCATGTTGCGACGATTTCATGTTGTGAAAACGGTTTCTTGGATGCACTTGTTGAATTTCTGGTTGCCGACTTGCTCGAAGAAATTTCGTTGACCAATATCACGTAATATAACAATACATATGTACATTCAATTCACTCATTGATATATACGTGAAACGTTCTTGAACTTTCGCTTGTTTAACGATTGAATCCAGGCGTATCGAAAATTTTGATAAAAAAAGAAAACATAAAAATTGAATCATTTTATTCAACATATATTCGCATATATATTTATATATGTATTTATATATCAACGTGTTGATAAATTTTCTGATCTTCTGTATTGTTTGAGTTTATTATTTATCGATTTATTTTACATACTCGCATTCGCCAATTTTCTGCAGTTTATGTTTTACGTACCAAGTAATATTAATAAGATCAAGGGTATAACGATTATCTCAATTTTTTCGCCGCTATATTTATTGCGCATCTTTATCACACATGTTTCTAATTCAATGACAAGTTCTAAATGCACTGCAAGAGGAAGGTTTTTTTCCGCAAGATTAGCATGAGAAAGGACTCACTTTGCGAAATTGAAATGCATTCGAGTTTCCTGCGTGTTCAATTAAAAGACAGCGTCGGCGGTAGATGTCATTTGCACGCTTTTTCTTTGTCTTTGCGTTCTAATGACGGCGTTTGAAGCGTGGCATCCTTTTCCAGTGTGCCGTCCTTGCCGCCCCCGTCATTTCTGCAACCCTTACGTAATCACAATTGTTTTACGCGGTAAATCCGGCTGAATTTGTTGCACGAAGCCGGTGCATCTTTTGTGCCGACCTCGGCTCGCAAATCGTGCCTTTGTTGAAAAAAAATCTCCGACGACTCATCTCGCGTGGGCGAGATGATAATGACTGCGGGTCGCAAAAACAGGCAATATCTCTGCACGCGATTTCCACATGGAGAACACTTTTGTTTCGAATGTGCGATGAAAAACAATACGATTTACACGCTGCGAATATCTCGGATAGATGAATTTAACAGGATCCATTTGTCATGACGTGATGTGATATGGGCTACATAGCAATGTATCGGGAAGACTACAACAGATTACGTAAATTACTCTGTGGGTGTCATAGAGAAATCATCGATTTCTGCAATGTATTATTATATTTATAAATGAGTTGAACGTCTCTCGAGTTTCTTTCAAGAACTACACATCAGCATTTATTTCTATTCAATAAAAAATTACGATTAAGTGTTTTTAGAAGTCATTTAAGTTGGATACTATAACTTATAAGCTGTTTGTATCTTAAAGATTATTTCTACATTATAAAATATGAATCTTGTAGATTATTTCTCCATTAAAATACGAAAAAAGAAAATAAATTATAGAAAAATTAGAAACATAATATTTTCGTCATAACATAATAATTTCGATAATTTATTTATCTCGTTTTTAAATCGAATGAGCAATTATTAGCAGCGCGTATTGTGAATATATTGTTCACGTAATTGCCCCAGCAATTGCATAGGAGTACAAATCATCATTCATGGGACATAACGGTACACGTAAAGGTGCAGTTACACATTGAAGGCGATCGAGGAACCGATTTAATTTTTCGCATGTTACATTGAAAGACCATACAAAAGTGCATTATGTCGCTTATAAATCAGAAACAGTACATCTTGCTTTGCATCGCGCTTTCAAACGTGACTGAAATTATTTGCTAAATTCGTTACACATAAATTACTGAATGGACAACATTGCAAGGAACAAACTTAAGGTATCTTAAGGCTGCAATTATTCCAAGAGCACGAGATTGAATCCAGTTTTGTAGATAATTGCAAGGATTTGCGGAAATCTGATCAATGACATGATGATTGAATTTTCATAATAATCGCGAATGATTTTAACGATGGCAAGGCCGACGCATTTAATTGTGCACGCATGCGAGTTCATAGAGGGATGCAATTTGCATGAAAGACTTGCACGCCCGTTGCTCCACATTCCTGAGCATACTCGTAACAGGCGTGCAAGGTCCTTCTTTTTATTTTATCAAGGATGAAAAATCCATCGTTGATCCTTGTATATTTAATTAATAATGAAGGTTATTGCCCCACTATTAATCAAAGTTTTATTGAGTGAACATTAATTATAGGACATTACAAAGTGTTTTTGATAAGTTTATATTGCAAGTTCTATACGTCCTCATCTATTAAAATAAGATAAGATAATAGTATTATCATAAAGAAAGATGTATAATAATTTCTACAAAAAATATAAATATTTTTTTCGTATATATATATAAATTAATTATATGAATAATATCATGGGTTATATGTAGGATAATAGCGATTTGAAATCGTATAAATCTTGCGCACAAATTACAATATGTATATCCAATGCCGAAATAGCATGTAAATAATTCTTATGTAAGAGATAAGATGGAATCGCCTTTCAAAGAATCATGTGAATCCTTTCTGAGGTAACACCTACGCTATTTGCGAATTTACGAAGCATAGCAACAATTCTCTACCGCGTTCTAATAAAGCATCGACTAGCCCTTACATAATTGGAAAGCGCTCGTGATATTTTTGCGCTATCATATTAAATTAATAAAGGTAATTAAAACGTTAATGCCTACTGAGCAAGCTAAATGTTTGCAGATTAGCGCAACAATCAAAACTTTTTGTCTCACTTTTCTTCATAATGACTAATCATCAAGGCAATTGATGAATGGAAATGTTGGAAAATATTAAAAAGGTTTTTTTTTCATCTCTTTCTGATTTTCTTCTATCTTTATATATTCCAAGAATAATAAATCATTTATTATGAAATACTTAAAAATATTTTCAGTTGAATAATTTTATAATAATAGAGAGAAAACAGAGCGAAAGAAAGTGAAACTTGTGGCATTATTTTTAAAGTATATATTGCGTAAGAAGAATTTAAGATAACCTTCTCTAAGAATGCAGGATAAAGCTCTGAGAAATCTTTTGTATTGATAAAGGGCATCCTGCATTATCTTTTAAAGTTCAACAAAAGTGACCCTAACTTATCCGCCTGTCTTGTCATTACGTTTTACCGCTGTCTTACTCAATTACTGGCAGAAAGCCGACGTGATCATTTCCTCGGTAATCGTTTTTCGCGAAATGCCTGGATATATTTACGGTTTTCGGCGAGCGATTACGCAGCTTTGGCGCAAGGGGCTCCTTTCTACTTCTACTACCCGTCCCACGGTATCCGCCAGGCGTGCACGTGACTAAGGAGCACGCGAGGCACGTGCACGCATGCCAGACTTACTGAATAACTATCAATAAGCCTAGCCACGACCGAAGGCGAGGAAAAGTGGAAAAAAAAGATAGAAAAACCGGCCAGACCGTATATTTTATCAACCATATCGTGAAATACCATATACAACCTTGTAAAGTACGTCAGCAAAACCGAAGAGATTACGCTGATATTTAAAAGCGGCGGAAATTATGTTGAAACTGATCTCTCCTTCGTTTTTTTAAAAGTACCGTATACAATCTTATAAAATACGTCAGCAAAAGCGAAGAGATAGAGAGCGAAGAGGGGGATTTTTATTAGAAATATAATGTTGTTTTTTTGCTGTGTTACAGAAAACTTGGCGCCATCCGAATTGAAGAAGCTAAGAAACAAACAGAGAAAACAACGCAGAAAGGCAGAATTGGAACGACAACAAGCCGCTCAAGCTCAGGAAAAAAGAGAGCAGCACAACAAATCTCGACAACAAAATGATCCTGATCTCGAACAACCTACACTAGACGAATTAATTCCGGAAAAGCTGGAAAGGGTTAATATCTTATAAATGATATATAGAATAAGTGTAATTTCTTTAAATCTAACAAGTGTCACAAATCGACGTTATTATTTAAGCGTCGATGATACTATTTAAACGTTGACGATTTTTATGGCAATTTATAAGTAATAAAAATGGAAAATCTCTTCAAAAAAGAAATGAATCAGTAAAATTGACTTCATATGCATAATTTACTAAACATGCATAACTTAAATTTATTTTTATATATATTTTTCAGGTCGAAGATCCTCTGGAACAAGCAATAAAGTTTCTGCAGCCGTTGCAAGAACTGGCGTCGAATCGAATAGAAACACATCTTATGGCTTTCGAAATATATATTCGCAAAGGTACTTTAGGAATATGTTCAATAGTGCATGCACAAGTCGAATCAATCATTGACGAAAATAATTTTGCAGAATTGATTCTTGTTTGACGCGCAAGATAGTAAATGGCTATTTCTTTTACAGGTCGCACTCTTCTCATGCTACGCTCCATAAAACGCGCTCATAGACTGGATGCGAACAATCCAGATTTGCATACGTGTTTGGTGCGTTTTCTATTGCATACCAGCAAGGTGCCGTTGGAAGGAGCAGTAGGTGAAGTAGTAAAACGTCAGACTGTCGGAATCTTCTCCAGTACAAAGCCGGCTCAATTAAACTCCGAATACTTGAAGAAGAGTAGGAATTCGCTGGCGCATCTGTTGCAAGCCGCCAGGATGTTATATGTCCTGGACCCGTCCGCACAGGCGAGAGCGCTATCCCTTGTGACTAACATCGAGAATTTGGAAGGCGTGACATTGCAGAACTGCACAAAGGTGCTCGAGGCATTGCGTAACGGCGACTTTGGACACTGCGACGATACGATAGCCGATTACATGGCGAAATGTCACGTGCGGTTCCCATTCGCTACCGCGTTTCGGCCGCCTGAGCCGAAAACCAACAATCATCAAGAAAAAGAGAACTCGATTAAAAACTGATCCAGGCACGCGCTATTGCAGCGTCACTGAATCGCTATCGTAGTTAGCGAGTCAATGAAAAGCAGGTGTGCGAAGCGTCCTAATCTGCGTTAGAGAACTTAAAATCATATTTTAGGTGTCGTGACAAAAAGAAATGAAGCGAAATTGGCGAAATAACCAATCGAGTAAAACATGTGTTATACAAGAACTGGTTCCTCGAGAGTATTTCGCACTACGTGCGAACAGTGCTAGAACAATGCTGGATAAACAATCTTAATAAATTACAATACGACGCGGACCCATCTATGATTTTTAATGTGGTCCGAAATGTTATGAGGATAAAAAAGGGAAAAGAGGTGACGACTTAGCTAAATATTAGTTAACAATCGAGATCAACTATTAATTTGATTCACGTTCTACTTATTGTGGGTGGCAACGCTAAACGCGAAGAGAGGAATGGAGATCAGAACGGGAGGGATGTAGTCGACAAAAGTGCGGATTGTTTTGTGTACGAGACGTGCAGTGTGTAAAATAACGCGTGCGAGACTAACACATTGGTACAAAAAGACAAGACTTGTATACATACATACGCGCGTTCTATGCGAATATTTCTACTCGAGGTTAAGGTGTACAATTTCCAGCGATGCCTACATAATACTCTACTATGTAGAGGCAAAATGATCATCGAGCATCGAGTACTATACCGTGCATGTCCGTCGCCGCATTTGAATGGACTTTATTCCCACATCGTGTACTAACTTCTGATTCGTCTCACCCATAAACTTTTGATTTGAATGAACAAAATGACCTAACGCTTTTCCTCCTAGATACAGATATTTTATTCTTGCGTTTTTGCTCAGGGTAATAATCTACGTTTGGATTGGAGCCCTGATATTCCATCGAGAAGTCAATAAATAAGTAGTGTCCGTTTGCGAAAGTCTCCGTGAAAGTTATTATAGAAACGATAAACTGCGTATTGTATACGCCAACTACCAAAGTATATCTTAAATCGAAAAGTCGTTAGTGTGCTGATAACGATTATCATCATACATGTATACATCGACGGATTGCGGAAATTTTAATGAACATTAAAGGTTTAAAGCCTATTGGTACAAGTCAAGGGATATTATAATTACCTCATTTAATTTTCGGAAATAATGTGCTATTTATAAGTTTTCAGTTTTTTTCGTAAAAACATTTTCGATACGAAATGACCATAGGTACTACCGAGCTATTAATAATGTTTGTACATATTTCAAATACTATAAGTGTATATGTCTTACGACTTTCTTTCAATGAGCGACGAGTGAAATTTGCCGCTGATGAATATTATCTGAATGTTAATCACCTACTCAAACACGTCATAACAATAATCATAAACATATAATAGGTATCTATATTTTATTGTATTAGTTATATTTACCTTCTTATTTACTCGCAAAGTATATGCCGGTTATTATCGTAAAATCAGAAGTCGAAAATCGATGGAATAGTTTCATTGAAATAAGATTATATTGGCAATTTATTTCTAAAATATGATACAAATTTTATATATATATATATATATATATATATATTTACAAATTTTATATATATATATATAATTTTATATATATATATATTTACAAATTTTATATATATATATATATATATATATATATATAATTTAATATATATATATATAATATATATATATAATTTAATATATATATATATATATATATATATATATATATATATATATAATTTAATATATATTTATATATCCACAAAAATTTCATTAAAAAACGCAATTAGACATCATGACCATGTGTGTATCTGTATCGAAAATTTTAATCTTTTTAAATTTGTTTTATTTAAATTTTTTTTTCTACAATGAAGAGTATTGAACTCTGATTCCAAGTGTTCTTGAAATAGCTTACATATTAATTGCTCCAATCTTTACCGGAGGTTGTTACCTCGATATAAAAACTTTGATCACGTGCATAGACACAAACATCAAAACATAGAAAATAAATAGTGCTAATTACGAATTATATTCGAATTTGTCAAGAGCTGAATCTAGATTTGTCTTTTAATCCCCAAACATAATATTGTACTAGCTTGGGTTATTCTCTAGACAATATCTTCTCTCTTTCACTCTCACTCTCTCTCTTTCATCTCTAAGAGAATATAATTGAATTCATCACACAGAATTTTTTAATTATTAATAATCTTTATTAAATATGTGACTCGTGCACTTTTTGCGCGCATACATATTTGATTTCATTATTACAATAAATAATTGAACATAAAATTTGTCATGTTATTCTATTTTTCGATATCACAAAATAGTCTACATAGATATATCTTTAGAATTTATTCAAATATTTTGTTTCATTAAACAAAAAGTGATTGAAAAAAAGTCACATAATCGATAAAATGATATAATCACAATATAATGATTGATATTATATAATGTCAAATATATATCAAAAGTGCAAAAGTACTGATATAAAACAATATTGACATTTTAATGACATAACAAATAATATTTTAAATATTCATTGATTTGACGATTCATGATGTATTATGCTGATATGTAATTTTGATATGTAATTTCAATTTTCTGTAATACGAAAAACATTTCTATGTGATGAATTTTCAGATTCCGTAATATAATCATGCTCATGTCTCTAACTTTCCTCACATTATATTCACTGAGGAATAAATGGAATAGCATTTTAATTGAACGAATTCGAATGTATAGTATGTACATAAAATACATATTAACATACACACACATATATATATATATATATATATATATATATATATATATATATTTATATATATATCAAGTATCCTTATGTTTAACCGTTTCTTTTTATTATATTACATCACCATAATATTATATCATGTAAAACTAATCTATCATACTCCGCTTAATTCAAAGAGAAAATAAACATTGTTACATATTTCTTATTACATTATGCCATAAGAAAATTATCACTAATTACATTTGTACAGCAGGTAAAATGCATAAAGAGAGAGTTGTGTCATATACTTAATTCTATTTTACAAGAGAAAGCTCAGAACTCAACTTTATCAATTTTGAAGCTTATGACTATAAAAATGAATTTTACTTGAGTCTAACAATATTTTTATTCACTTTATAATCCTGTCAAGTTTCTTCAAAATTGATAGGGTTTAATTCCGTGCTTTTTCTTGTTAATCTCACTGCAATTGTTTTATTCTTTCTGTATATTATTTTATTTATTTTCTGCATGATCATCTTGTTAAGGCTACAAAAACGAGACTTATCAAATCTGTAAAGTTTGAAAAAAAAGAGCAGGTTTGCTTTGCCTGCATTTGTACCTACTCTTAATTAACTTTTATATGTAAATATTAATGTTTGATCTTTCAGAAAAATCAATATCCAATAAATACAATCACAAGTTGTACTTTTACGTGCTATCTGGTGATTAACATTACTTGGAAAGATTCAACTTATGAAATGTCAAATGAAAAAATAAATAAATGAATAGAAACATGAATAGAAAGACAATTTGTTTACTGTACATGCAACCATTATGCATACTAATAGAAGAAACCTAATTTTTGTGTTATTCACAATTCTAAGAGGACTATATATTTTTATGTTTTGTAGATGTAATAAATTTGTCTAGATAAAATATATATTCTATAAAGGAATATATAAAACATAAAAATAAGATATAATTTCTGTTATTCTCTCTCTTCCTCTTTCATATATAATACAATTGATTTGTTTTTGTATTTTTCTTTTTTTAATCTTCTTGTTTTATTGGAGTTTGTGGTAATTGACTCATCTGATTCCAATTAATATCACTAAAGTTAATTTCTATTTTTTGATTTTTTGGGATATATTGTCTAAAAAGAAATTAATTATTATTATAAATTTTTGCTGTAAAAGAAAATGCAAGATCTTGCAATTGTAGTAGTAAATTAATGACAGCCATTCCAATTAACAATACCTATACTTTATACCAGCAGCATCAAACATTTTCTTTGCAGCTATTGTCTCGACTTTATGACCATTTTTATCGGACATGTATATTATTGTTTTTATGCCAGATTGTATTACTACTTTTGCGCATTCGTTGCATGGAAACAAACCAACATACATTGTACAGTCCTTAACGTCACTTGAATTCTTGTTTAAAACTGCGTTAATTTCTGCGTGACATACTATAATCCAATGCCATAATGAATAGTTAAATAATATTTTTATTTTATTATTTAGTTTATTAATATTATTAATATTTTAATTTATTATATATATATATATATATATATATATATATATATGTATTTTTTTGTATAAAAAATATCATATATGGTACCATAAAGATATTTTGTATCTAAATCTCTGTTATGAGAGCCTTTTCCCCATGGAAATTTATCATCATCACATCCCATGGGCATTCCATTATATCCAATGCCAACAATTCGTTTATCATTATTAACAATACAAGCACCGACCTGGGTACAGGGATCTTTGCTGCGTTTTGCGGAAAGGAACGCTATAGCCATAAAATATTCATCCCAATCAATGTAGGATGTTCTCTTAGAATTAAGATCTCTATATATAAATAAATAAAATAAGGTATTATAAATGATCGAGTATGCTCTATTAATAAAAATTGAGCGTCTCTATATTATAAATATATGCAACAAAAATTTTTGATACCGTTTGGACGATATTTCCGTCATTGCCAACTAATCTTTACTAGCTTCACCGAAACACAGAGATTAGAGAATGTTATCAATTATTTAAATAACTTTACGCTTACGTTTAAATATTACTAAACTTAAATATTACATGAATAATAAAAGTCAAAGCAAAAGCAATCACAACGGTCTAACCTTTAAAACTTGAAATCCATACAACGATTTCATTCCATCTACTTTTGAGAGCTGGAATTATTTAGCCAGAGATATTTTGCAGCTGTTGATAAAATCACCATTTGGTGCGCATCCGTGCTAATAGCAGACATACACCAAATAGCTTTGTCGGTATTACCAAATACTGATGAACTCGTCACATAAATGATGTGCAGGTGAATAAACATAAATGAGCTTTATTTGATTCAGAAACATTTATTGTATTCATAGTCCTTCCATATATAATTCATAGCTCTGAAAATGCTTGACACCGTGACAAATATTGGACCGTGTAATAGCTGAGCGCTTTTCTAATTCGTTTGATTTTAATATTTCATATTTCTATTATAATTGCGGAAATTATAAAGCGGTATAAGATCTTTTTGTTCAATATACTGCGCTCTACCTCCTTACAAGCTCTTGTATATATAGTGTTCTGGGACATCCTGTATAATATGCGATGATGTAAATGTAAAATATACAAAATATATCTCTTTATTATTATTCTGGAATATTTATTTACATAAAATATCAGGAAACAATTATTTTGATTTCTATTATCGCAAAACAATGCGACCAGTACTCCTATTCTGTACCTTTTAACGATACGAACATCCCATATTATAACGCATCCTTGCACTTATTTCCGATATGTTTTAATTACAATGTGTCTAAATAAGTATTAATATATATTTATTCTGGCAAATTAATATTAATAATTAAAATTAATATTAATATAATACATAGTATATATGTAATATATAATAATGCGTGTTAAAATAATTAATTAAATAGATAAATAGAGAGAAGGAAATTATTATGATGATTAGTTGTAGATTATTTCAATAAAATAATTTAAATGATCACATTAATTTAATTAATCACATTGTTGATATTAATAAGAAGTAATGTAATATTTTTTTAATTGCTTGTAAACAATACTATAAATAATTAATAGTACAATTGCATTTTACATATTGACTAATTCCATGTCAATTTTATTCTAGAAATAAAAAACCTTGCAGTAACTTATTATGATGAGAAATAGAAATAAGATAATGCTTAAATATTAATAAATATTAATAAATTGTATTTTGACATTTTAATTACATAACATTATACTCCAGATGTAATATAAAAAATAATAAAATGTAACAAATGTAAGAAAAATAAAATTAGACTTAATTAAATAAAATTAGACTTAAAACTAGACTTAACAGTTATATATGCTTCAATAGTCAATTAATTAAGTCAAAGACAACACATGTAAAATAAAATAATACATCCTTATGAAGAAGAAAAGAAAGAATCAATTTATCTTGAAATTTTTATGCTTTCTTACTTATAACAAAATTCTTTACATGCACGATATAACATATGAAATCCTTTACGTGCACCATATAACAAATAAAATATTTTACAAATATTGTAACATTTACAAATTTTGCAAAATCGTTGTATTAAATTTCAATAATTTTAATCGTCTTACTTCACAAGTGTTTGATTCTAACAAATCTGTATTAAATCTATCGATTATAACTTGTTTCAAAATTCACTGTCTTGAGTGAATTCTTGAATCAACCATCTATAATTGATAAATTTAAGATTTATTCGTGAGCATATTGCGTCATTGTAGAAACAGTTTGACATATGAAAATGAATTCTATGTGTGTGTATGCGTGTGTATATAGATTAATATAATTCTGTCAACTTATCGAGTTTCTGGGGATAAGATATCAAAAATAGAAGCATGGTACAATCGATATATGCTGTAATAATCAGAGCATGGCAGAGCTTAGGACCGAATCTTTAGGCACGCCAACTGGTGACTCCTGGTACCGGTTCATTTTTATCGCATTTTTTAGTTTTTATCCGTAAACTTGAATGCTTTTCCAATGTAGAATCATTATTTAGGGTAAAAGAATACTCTTATTCAAAATAATGAATAGTATACACATAGTATTATTGAGAAAACATGCGAGATAAAAATTATTATAATATTTTTTAAATAAATTTGGAAGAGTATAATATTGAGAGAAAAAGAGATAATGTGTTCTGCAATGTGTGTGTCACAGAATAAGATATCTAAAATACATTGCAGAATAAGATATCTAAAAATATTTCGATTATTGAGAGAGAAAGACTTCTTTCTTTTGTGGAGTGTGTTCCAATTATACCGTTGTTTGACATTGTGATGCCACGATATTATGATTTTCCGCGTATGCACATTTTATCATTCCGCTATTTTGTATCCAGAGTCCATGCAATTTCATGATATATATACATGTTATTATTTATGATTATAGAGAAAACGCTTTGTTAGCGGAAGAAGGCGTCTCTATCTTTCTGTGAAATGTAGTAACCTTACATTCCGCATCGAGCATATTTTTCGTATGTCCGTTTTTTTATGCAACAGTCCTTTTTTTATAGAGATACAATTATATCTTTCATATTTCGATTCTATTTTGGTCATTGCTACGAATGCAACTTTGTCTGGTACTTCTCTAGTCTGATATGTATTAAAATGCATAACGATGCATGCATACGTGGCGTATGCTTATAAAGATACATACAGACCAGGGAAAATAATGCATGTATGCATTGTGACTAACTGATCCACTTCCTGTTTTATGAGCAGCGTCGTGACAACCGTTCAGGAAACAATCGAAAACTAGAAATTTGTCTCGTAAATAGAAAACATTCATGGAATAACAGCTAATACTTAGCAATCGGCTTCCGAGTTCCGATTATGCTGCATGTATTTGCGGAAGGAAAAGATGTGTGATCGCATGGAAGTTCAATATTACACGGCATTTGACGGGCTGTTCTAAGACAGTTATAAGGAAGCGAAAAGAAATCTTTCACGTCGAACTCGTCCTCGTCATCTAACCTACATTCGAGGTATTTTTTATGTTCATATAAATTATATAATATTACATTAAATATTAATTTTTTATAATCGAATTGAATCAATATTTAATTTAATAGAATTCAATTTTTACGTAAAAAATTAATATATAAAGTTTAAAATAAGAAACATATTTAGGAACATATCTATTAAAAAACTATATTAAAAATATATCCAATATTTCCAATATTAATAAAATCAATAGTGCATAGTCTTTTTCTAGCAAATTTTATATTGATTACTTTATGATTATTTTCATGTCAATTAACTAACGGTGAATTCTACGAATGTATTTAAATCAAAAAGGTCTAACATCTTTTGCACAATCATAAATGCAATTTCTTATAATATTCACATAATTATGCGCATAGCAAAGATTCATTGCTATTGACATACATGCGAAAGACATATGAAGCTATATGTTTAAGATATTTAAATCTTAGACCCTTCACCTACGTGATCTTTAAACTGCTGACGATTCTGCGTAGCTTATTAAATACTCATAAACGAATATGTGTGGGCGCGGCATCGTGGGCACGTTTTACAGCTGTATCCGATATTGGTAGGAAAAGGGACCGATAAACGGGTAGCCAATCATAAAACCAGCATGCAATCAACAGGCATTAGCGATGACTATCGATTTCAAATTATTATCTGATCAGTCGTGAGAAAAGTTTTGCCTATGGCAATCGCGTCTGAAATCGTTTTATTTGCGTACAAAGTCTATATTGCATTGCCATTTTTAGGAAAAAAAATTTGATGAATATTTTATATATAATTTATAATTATATATATATATATATATATATATATATATATATATACATAATTATAAATCGCAATTATAGACATATATAATAGTATTGTACTTTATATTATTTTACAATATAAATTTCAATTAATTAATGTTTCTAATAAAAATCTCTATCATTAATTTTTTGAGGAATCAGTAATCAATAATTGCTTGTATTTTATTACTAGCATTTAATTGAGGTCGCCACTCGTGAAATCAATGCTTTCTGCACATTTTTCTCCTGCCAACAACATGTTCTTCGTAATAGAAAAGGGTCTTCAATATGAAATAATCCCCTAATCCCCTTTATCCAAAGATTTTTTAATCGGGAAAAAAATCGCTTTCTATATAAAAATGAGATAAAATATTTTGATATTTTCTTTTCAATATTTTTTAATATTTGTTATAAACACAAAATTGTCTTTATAATAATACATTGGAATAATATATATGGAATTCTTTTTTTTTTTAATATAACATAATGTGAGCATTTTCATCTTGTTTCTTTGAAATAAATAAAAAAATGATATGTTTCAGAGTTGACTTTCCCTTCACAATTTCATACAATCGATCGATGTAAAAATAGAATGACACAGCTTGGCACTTTTTCGCGCAACGTTCTGTAGTTACATGGACCGTGGCGTCGAATTATTTATCTCTCGACGCGTTGCACACATACAAATCGCCTTTTACACCGACGTCTCGGCGGTTCTTTTGTCTCGACGTATATACATCCTATCCTATTACGAAACTTGCGCGCGGTCCAGAGAGGAGGACCGTGAGGATATTCATGGTCGACGCGGAGGAAGTCGAGTATTGATCAAGGGGGTACGCGCGTCGGGAGGAATTTCTCTCCTCGCGGGTCGGGGCGTCGTCGCTTTTCGTCGCGATCGTGAATGCACGGGGATGAATGGGCGCGGTGGGGGTCGCCGTTTGCGCGACGAGGGAACCCGAGGGGAATTCCGGGGAGAGAGCGGAATGCACGCATCGAATGCGTCTGCGCTCTGTGCGCGCACGCAGTGCTCCGATGCGCTTGGCTCGAGACGCGCACCGGGTATATTTACGGTTCGCGGTTGCCGGGTCGGTGACGGCACGCACGTGGGTATCTGTCGGCGAGGGAGGCAACGAGGAACGGCGTGAGACAAGATAAAACTGACGAGGGAGAATTGGCAGTCCCGGAGGATTCGCGATGCCGATTGATACACTCGACGCGTCGTTAGCCACCGGCGTGTCACTACCCTTCGAAAGGGACTCACTGTAGCGTGAGTAATCGCACGTACTTTACATCCTCTCTGGTTTCCAATATTCGTTATTATAATACTTTTGTTATTATCTCGTAGAATAAAGTGCTACGAGTATCAATATTACTCTGCACTTCGAGAAGATACTTGAGACGTAGTTGCCGCGATATCAAATAAGCTAAGATAGCGGCAGCTTATTATAACATTTCTAGCTAATCTGGACTCCTTTAAATTCTCTCTCATATTTTTTGTTCTTAATCATTTATTAATATTTGCTTTAATTAATTTTCTATTTAATCTTTTTTGCTTAATTATTATTTTTAAAATTATCGAACAAAATATCGAAAGTTTGTTAATTTTAATTTTTAAGTGAAAAAGTTCTTTTGAGATAGATTTTTGTTACACAAGATTTCTCGAACCATTAGTTTTAAAACTAAAAAAATAATTCAAAAAATAGCTACGGACAATGCTCAGCTCCCAAAAATTCGAGCTATGCTACTGTAATCCAATATTTCAGGTATAAAATACAGTAGGGGTTCAAGCGATTCTCTTATTTTAAGGATAAAGTATTTCTAGCCAGCCTGATCCGTCTTGCGTTTTCGTGCGAGTCCTGTGCGTACAATAGCGGTTGTCAGAATTGCTTTCCGAGCGCGACGAGGTAGGGGCAGAGATCTCTGCCGACGATATCTCCCTCTCCGTCTTTCTCGTTCACGAGTTCGCTCTCTTGAAGCGCCGGCATTGAAGGGCTGCAGTCGTGATCGGATGCTCAGCGTGTACGGATCGGAGCACAAGGTGCTCGATTATCAAGTGAATGAGAAAGAATTCGGAGCAGTGAATTCGCGAACAAACGACGCCGATGAGCAATGTTCCTCACGAGTGTTCCTCAGGTAAGCGACCTGCTATTTTCGCAGAAATTGTGAAATTTTGGTAGTGTTATTTGCGACTCGCGATCTGTTTATTGACATTAGACGGTACACGTAGAACTTATGCACATGATAAGCGAGACTTGTTAGCAAGAATAATGATAACGTTTTTAAAAAGGCATTCGCGTCAAGAGTAGATTCTCGCACAAACAATTGTGTATAAAAATATGAAAGATTTTTAACATTCTACGATAAAGTAGAATTATATAAATTATTAACAGATATGAATTATTGAATATTGGAAAAGATGTATCTTTCGAGAAAAAGAGCTAATTTAAGTTTAAATAAAAATCTTAGATTGTTGCTTATATTATTGGAGCATTTCTTTCGTACTTTGTATATTACTACAAGTAAACTTCGACATGTGTACTATTCAATGTTATTGAGAGGCAGTATGTCATCTTGAAGTTAATTCGGAAATAATTCCTAGCAATGTTTCTGCGATTTATGCGTGGCTATTATATTTAATTTACGTATCAATAACTTGATACATAAATTAAGATATTAATTCGTTGTACGTTGTATCATTCTATATATATCTTGGTTTCGTAATCGAATCAATATTTGTATCTCTGCACGTTGCGGGGAATTAAGTATCTCTCGATTCTGCGAAAACGATTGATAAGTAGCAGAAGTTGATGAATAATAAAATCATATAATGAATTTTAATTATCGCTTTTACAAACATTCGCATTTCTGTCTCTGTAAGCATAACAAGCGTGGACTTATTGCAACATGATGTATAATAATTTTAAATATATTGCGAAATTAAATTGTTTGTGAAATATATTACATAATCGTCACATTTTTGTCATATTTTTTTTAATTTTAGAAGTATATTTAAGAATCGGGAACTATTTGTTTATTCTTATTAATTTGAGAAAGTGACAAGTCATGTATTTTAGTAACTAGTATGTGTATTGTTTGGTACTTCCTTATGTTCCTTTAGAGAGTTAATTACTTCGAATATAGTAAAGTTCATTATTCTTCGCAGCCAGTTTATCACTTTCATAATAAAAGTGGAAATAATATTCAATGACATGAGACACTATTCGAAACATGTAGTTGAAAAAGCATGCCAAGTTCTTAGACATTGTACACTTTCTCTCGATTATAGACTCTATCGTGAATTTTTTTCCTCAATCAAAATTGAAGACTGTGATTTATCTCTTTCTTAACTTCTTCATTTTCATTATTAACTACCTTGGCAATTAATTATTAAGGAACTTGTAACAAGGCAATTAAATCCTTATAAAAGGCTATCTCTAAAATCAAAATTAATTAAAATCAAGATTTTTTTTTATATGTATATTTTTAATTCTTAAGTGTTAAATTTAAAAAATTTATAATAATAAATAATTTTTTGCAACTTTTAATGTATGTCGAGATATTAAAATAAAAATATAAATTATTATAAAATATAAACATATATAAATTATCATTTTTCTATGATCACCAATTATGAAGAAGGCGTTTTCTAAATTCTGCATCCTTTTAAAATCCTTACAATTGCGATAAAAATTTCATGACGATCTCTTTTTTTATTGATACGGTTTTATTGATATTCTCTTTGATGTAGTTGTTCTTCTTTCTCTTGACATTTTGACGGACAATTGGTGGGCTCTCTCGCAAAACGAAGCTTAAATGACATGTCTCAATGTGCACATATTGCGATATAAAGTCATTAAAGAATTTCTAAGGCGTCAGGCAACAGCCTGCCTCCACGAAACTCATTAGCCAGATGTAGACGAGAGTATATCTGCTATTATACTTCGTGTGTATATATACAATGCGACTCTTCTTTGTCATCTTTGCCGCAATTAAGCTTGCCCTTAAAGTGCGTGCGACGTATGTATGACTTGGAGAAAAATTAGATATCTAAAAACGACAGTGATAAATGTTTGATAATCTATCGCCGAATTAGATAATCACTATGATAATTTGAAAAAATCACGGTTCAAAAAACATTTGTTTTCAAGATTGTCTAAAGTTCGACTTGTAGAAAGATCTTTTATTTTCAATTGTTCATAAGTGAAGAAGGAAGTTTTCCTCAGGCCTCGTTTTCTTTATTTATGAGCCGCTTATTGCCACGAGCCCGTTAAAACGTATTAAGTACGGTCATTATCTCCTGTAACAGCTGGTAATAATATTACGAAGTGCGAAACCTGTAATGATATCAACGACGATAATATCGAAGGAGCGAATCGTGCCAGATGTATTTTCATTTGCGTGTACAATTTTAAAATCATTTCCCGGAAGAGATGTACCATGTGAGCATTAAAGTGCATCAGCGGTTTTACTAACATTAAATCGCATACGGTGCATTTAATGAATTGCATCGCATTGCTATAGATCGTCGTGACCTAGTTTGTAAAAATATGTTTTATTTTGATTAAAAATAAATATATTTTTAATCAAATGTATGAAATGCATTTTTTTATGATATGTAATTATATATCACGCAAACGTATACGTTAGAAGCATACTTACGAAGCATACTTAGTTTAAACTACGTGGTGCTTCGTATTAGTCTTTTTACCGGCTTCGGTATTAATGCTTACGGTGCTCTAATAATATTAATATCTATCTCCTGATGCTGAAATTTTTATTCAAAGGCAAATTATTATTATTATCGATTCAGTCGATTAGTCATCAGCTGATTTATACCAGGCGCTATCGCTGTCGAATATTTTAATCGCGAACGGAAATAAACACGCGGCAATCGAATGATTCGGCGAGATTTCCGCGCTATCGCGATCATCATCGCTATCTTATTCATGATTCCACGTGACTGATGCGAGAAGTAAAGCGAAAACAAGAGCGCGCGCGGCATCCCCTCGCGTGGCTTTCTCTCGCCGGAAATGCATGGCGTTGAAGACTTCCCGTTATCGCGTCTGCTTATGCTAATCCGCAAACTTTCGCGCCGACGGCGGAACATACGTCGAATTTCGTTTGCGGAGAACCTCCGGTGCATCGCACGCGTCTATCTCGCCTCTCTCGACGCGGCTCGCGCGCGCGTGATTTTATTACCTGTGGAACGTCATGCATGCGACGCACATATGTACAAACACTCCTACGCGCGATGGTCACGCTCCAAAACGATCACTTATTACCTCAATCTTATTACCGCTAACGGCGCATTACCGCGTCTCGAGGGAATCGTTTCTTTTAATCTATGTGGATTGCCGCTCTCGGAAACGCGTTGAAAGGGATCACCAAGAGCCCCGCCTCTAGAAATACGCGCTCGTAAGAGGTAACTTCCCGTTCGCACAATCGTAAAAGCGCAAAACAACTGTTCTTTATTAGTGCAATAATTGGAGCGTAAAATATTTTATCGCCATCCGTTTCCTAGGCTTGATGACATTTATTCTGACGTGTCGTCGTAATTAAACAAATAAGTAAATTGCCGAGTTAATGTACGATCGTGGTATAGAAAGTTATGTTTGCTCTATGTCGAAGGACCAAAGTTCAAATGCAGCAAACATCGAACTTATTCGATTGCTATACCTCTCGGAAAGCAATGACGATCACTAAGAGAGTGTGGCTCTTGTCAAGAGGACCCCTCTAATCTAAACCTGTTTGGAAACAGCGTAAACTGTCGATTTCCAATATATTTGCAGGACTTATAAAAGGACGCATTGCAGACATGTAAATATAGAGAGGTCACCATCCTCTGATAAGAGGTACGAATTGAAGAAAATATATACAGATATATAGATATGCTAGTTTTCATGTCTTTAAAAATTACAAAAAAAGCTCTAGAAATTTTTTCTAGAAGTTTACGATGTCACACTAGAACTTCTCGATTCAGAGTCAAATATTCTTTTATATTTTTGGTTACAAATTAATTAATATAAAAGAGTATTTGACTCTGAATTAAAAAGATCTAATGTGATATGCTCATTGTAAATTTTTAGAAAACCTGCTTTTATTTTTTTTATAATTTTTAAGAACATGGAAACTGACATATCAACTCGTATCTTCTCTTATAAATTCATTAATGAATTCAAATTTTTACCGTAAACTTATAGAAAACTTGTTCTTATTTTTAATTTTTTAAGAATAAAAATTATCAAGTAAACATTCATCATAACGTCGTCGATCAATTTCATAAAACGTTCTGTATAGGCATTTAATCAGTAAAATATTATATGCTAACTGTGAATGAAGCTTTTGATGATATTTTTAAATGAAAATCGATGAATCTATTTCATACATACGAATATCGGTTACGATCGACACATGTCTGAGACGTGTGTAAAAAGAAAGATGCTTCATTAATCTTTCTTCAAAATATAAAATCCATTCCCTGTAACCGTATGACACATTCATCATTCGTTAAGTGCCACGTGTGTGCAAATATATGCGTGTAATTATGATTAAAGGCAGTGAAAGCCGACGTTACGGTTGTACGGTTGCGTATGAATTTGACTCTCTTATCGATCGAAGGCTTTCTCGTTTATTTCATCGCAAAGCTGTGTGACCCACATGCTGGACTTATTCTAGCTTACATTTGTTTTCCCGCATCTTTCGTACAGAGGGAAATCTGTTGTCTCTCGGCATTCTTTAATTGACTTTGTAGGGCAAACGAATGAAACTCAACTCGCGACAGTACTTTTTAAGTGCGTTGGACAAACCAGCCATAGACATATATTCTTCGAGAACCGTAATTGGACGGGCACGCTCTGTTTGTGCGCTTTAATTAACTCGCGATGCACTGCCGACTATATTTTTATACATCCTTTTCATCTCTTTCCTACGATTGCTATTGAAACGAAAAGTTCCTCCAGTATGATCATTTTTGACTAATTATTTTATGGATTTTTATGAATTTTATGGATTCATAATTTTGATGCGATAAAATACCGTCAATTTCTTTCAATAAAATGTTTGTTAATGGATCTAAATATATATGTTATGAGATATTAAAAATTCCTTTCTCGTGTTAAATGTGTTTAGGAAATCGTTAATATAAATATGACATTTACGAAAGATCTTGTGAGATTATCGTTAACGAGACAAATGCAGGGAAATTCCTATAAATTGTACAAGAAATTTTTGAAACTATCTATATTCGAAAGTTCGAAAGGAAATGGTCAAGATATTGACGCGGTCCGCTGCATTCGATGACATTCACTATGCTAATTTTAAAAACATCTATTCAATATTTTCTCGTAACGAAGAATCTTTAATTAGAACCAGTGCAAGCAGTTCCATAAAGTTACTTTCTATCTGATAGGAAAAGAGTAACAGTTGTGCGTACAATTGCGATTACTAATGAATAATTTTGTAGACGCTGCACATACTCATATAAAACATTTGGAATCTGTTAGGTTCGATATTCAATAGAAATAATTGACAGAATACGTATGTGAGACATTGGACATCGATTTTCATTAAGTGAAAACCTATGTATGACATATATAATCTAATATATGGAAGCACGCATTGATAAGAATAGGTATATATTCTACATGTCATGTGTAATTAAATATAATATAATATCGAAAGTTCGTTTACGTTATACATATAATAATTTATTATTTATTTTAAGGTTTTTAATTAAAGGAAAAAAAAAATATATATATATATATATATATATGTGTATATCTGCATATATATATGAAATTTCTGTAATCTGACCAACACAACTGATGTTGCTTTTTCTCTTTATGATGCTAGTGACCGCGACTTTATCGGCTCCTTTTAAGGAACATTTTATGACAGTACGTTCTCGCGCGTAACGATCACCTACACGCAGCATTGAGCCATGTGCAAAAAGTAAAACGACTAGAGAAACGCGCCAGAGCTGACCTAGCAAATCTTTCTCTCTTTCTGTGCAAATTTCGCGTAAATTATGTCGGAACTGTAGCTTACTAACGCGATCAGAAAATAATTAAGTATTCATTTAAAAAATAATTATCATAATGTTCACGTATGATGAAATATTAATGATAAGAAATTAGCTTTTATACAGTAATTAAAGATAATTGAATGACTTCTGTTGTTAATCAATGCCTTGACAGATCATTAAACTAACGATCGTAAATGAGGCATTGGTGATTAATATCGATAATCAAAAACGAATAAACAAACGGATATAACACTAATATCATTGACGCATGGCAGACAGATAAACTGTTTGAAATATTATTCGAAATTGTCCATGAGATCTGTCGAGGATCATCGTCGAGAGATTGTCACGCGATGTCAGTGTGTTACACGTGTCTTCTCGTAATGAGCAAACGCCCACGCGCTCGCGAGCCGGACGCGCGTTGATGGACGCCAGCTTTTGCCACACAGTTAATCTAGCGCGGTTATATGTATGTGAGGTCTCTAATGGCGATCCAATTCGCCGCTCATCCTCCGATTAAACTCGATTGTTGTCGACGGTCGTTGACTTCGGGCACGTACTTCGACGCATAATGCGTCAATTCGATTTTTTCCAGATCGGGTAATGGACCATGTCGCAGTTCATTATTATTTTATTAACTTCCTTTCACGTACGACTGCATTTTCTCATTCCGATGGCTCCCACTCGTGTTATCGATTTGATAGCTGCGATCAAAAAATGAGACAAATTTTTGAAAACTTGTGGAAATTAATACAAAATGTACAGTCTCGTGTATTAATTTAACGTGAAATAGACCGTATTTTTTTTAATGAAGATTTTTATATCATAGCAATGCAGCAAGATATACTTAACTGGTGGCAAACTTTGAAATGCTAACTGAGAGTGTATTCATAAATATTTTCTCAAATTATGTGCAACATACGTCAATTAAAATAATCTTGTCAATCAATTCTTAAAGTCGCGGTCTATAAATTGAATGATATTTTTTTTATTAAAATAAACTCTACAGAGCGTTACATATTGTTCGTATATCATTTGCGTGTATTATTTTTATCAAAATGAAAAACACTATCGACAGTTGCTCCTTGAAATTGATATGGTAATTTTCGAGGTAGGTGTAAAATAACGTTATGTCTGCGATAAGTATGTAATTATTTCAAACTGTTGGATACGTCGAGAGATCAATACAACTGTGTTCACAAATTAATGCAAAGGTCAGAAACGTATAAAATGATGAAGTTATGTCATCCTGTAGGCGAGCGTTACGTATCCAGAGAAAAATAAGAGCTTGATTAATAGTATCCACGCATCAGTCTCTATCATTTAGTTTTTTAAGCGATGATGAAAGGCTCTTATTAATCTGATCGATTAATTTTAGAGCGCAATTAAATTACTATTATATATCTCTATCTGCAATGTTATATATTTACTATAAAATAATAATAAAATACTTAACATTATATGTATTTACATACATTTTTATTTTTATTTTTATTTTTATATTAACATACCATTGCAAAATATCTTGCAAGTTGACTAAATCATTCGTTTAATCGTATACTAATAATTGCAATTGCTGGCTTCATGAATGATGTCTTTGAGAGCATCAATGAAACCGGGAAGTGGAGAAGTTTTAAATCATTCGATAGATCTTATAATCAACGAAATTAGTATGTACTATGTGCTTAAAGGCACGCTTCAGGAAAATAAACTTGTCCAGATTTGGCAGCGGGCTTGTTACCTATATGGGTAGACAAATCTTTAGTCAAGGATAACCATGTGTACGTTGCGTTTTCTTGTTGGCTGGTGCGTATAAACAGCGTTCGACTTAAGGAACTCGAGATGCTCAAAGTCTGTAACGCATACCGCTATATTAGTGGTCTTTGAGCTCGTCATGTTGTATACCGTATATAGGAATCTTTACGCAAGGGTTCTTTCTCTGTCCGTTTTTTTTGCGAAAGATTACGTAAATCTGACTGACACAATAAATCGATCCACTCGAAAGACGCTAATAAAGATTTTAGCTTGAGACGTTAAATAGATTCGTATATATTTTCAGCTTCTCCTTTCGAAAGCGGATGTAATTGTAGTGATTATAGTAAATATATTGAGTTGCTACTTGAGAAACATTGTCTTGCGTAATTTACAACCTCATATCGATCGAATATCGATTGGTTTATTAAAAGTTATTGATATACATTTTCTCTTTGATTTATCACATTGTCATAGTTATTTATAATATATAAAGCAGCGCTAATTATTTAAGTTTTAATTCTTGAAAAGATTTTAAATATTAAAATATGTAATAAATATATAATAAACGATTGTTATATTATTATAGCAATCTTATAATGTTAAGATAGATATAATGTTTATGTCAGAAATTAATAGAAGCTTTGTTGAGATCTTAAAAAGAATTGTTTAGCATCCGTTTTATTTGACATAACTATAATGAAAATACCATTAATAGAAAAATCCAAAGGATTGATTTATCGATCAGCGTGTGTTCGCGATTTATGAGGATGTCTACTGTGACGTATTTGAGAAGATATTTCGCGCCCACGTGCCACATGCTGATTACAAGCATCAAGCGCAGTGACAATCTCATCTGTCGATTGCACGCTGAGTTTCACCGGTTTCGCAAACTTGTCATTTCGTCTCGCTAGAAATTTCGATAAGAAAGTCGTCTCTCCTCGAGTGAATTGCTCTTAATACCCACGAATCTAAGAAACGCGTACATATTTCAATGGTGGTAATGCATTACGTTACGGTAACAGGATAGAGATAGCTCAAGATATATCGAAGGACGTTCGTAGATTTGTCCGTGAACATCATGTTGGGCAGTGATTTGTTTTCTTACGAATACGAGAGATGCTGATGCATATCTCTTACATTAGCATTTTGACATTGATGACGCGATTAATAATTATGATCCTCGATCTCTTGTTCTTGTCGTTTAAAATATTTAAATATACATAGTTGAATGTATAGATTTTAACTTTAACATATGTATGTGTCATACTTTAATATATTAATTTTAATATAAAACACAAATCGCGCAAATGTATACAGTAATTGGAGATATTACCATATCATTAAAAAAAATGTTTTTTCTCATTGCAAAAACATGGAAAGGCACCTAATTAATTATTGGTGCGTGAGTTGCTAATCATTCTACGTTTCGAGGTGATATGTTCCTTTGGAAGCGGAAAATAATATTAGCCCCATTCAAAAGATGCTATGTGCTAATATTTTACAGAATCCAAAATGGTATCCACTTCATTGTATCTTTTAATACAGATGATAGTTCATATTCAGTATTCAGATTTTTTTTTATTCTTTAACTACTTGATTTTTACATTTTATTATATAGCTCCTTCATAGAATCGAAGCACGTGATAGTAACAATAAATATTACAAATCATTACATATGCAGACTTTATCCTTGTAAAATAATATAATTTTCTAACTAATAATGGATTATAAGACAATTTTTCTCATTATGTATAATTATATTATTTATCTTTTTGATTTAGTTTTATTTTTACACATAATCGCTTGATCATACGTTATATTTTCATGACTGCTATAAAGTATATATATCTTTAAAGCGTTTAAAGCGATATTTTTCAAGCTATCTTGAATCTTAAATTTATAACTCTGAGGATAGCAGACACTTAAAGAAGAGCCCTTAGTCAAAGGAAATGAAATCTCATCGTTATGGCTTCCCAGAGAAATCGTAGAGAATTCATGCACGCATAAATGTGAAGCGTGTTTATCATTTGTGTATCTCAATTTTTCTTTTTTCTTCCAAGAAGAGTCTTGTATTACATCTTATCATCGCATTCTCACCTAACCTTCTACTAGCTTTCTCGGATGTCTAGTTTTCGAAAGCGACTCCAACTTGTGATAACGATAATCTCTTCTCGTTTCTCAGGCGCCACTTGATCGCGAGGCGTACGTTCCTGCACGAAGTCGCTCTTAAATAAGCTAGGAACTGTCGAAGAGAGTGAAGTGGGTCCTGGAAGAGGACCCGGATAGAGTGAGGAGAGAAACGTCGAAGGATCCGACGTGCAACGCCAGGACCTTCTACAGGACAGACTCCATGATGTCGTACGCCAACCGATTCCCGTCCTCGCAGCACATTCGTTATCGCAGTAGCTGGGGCCCGTCCTCGGTTTCTGTTTTCAATCGTGCCGATGTGCCGCGACCCTCGCCGGAAGAGGAAGAGTTCGAGTTCTATCACGAGCGACTGCACTCGGCGCAAAGTCGTCAGCTGATACCGCTTCAGGAAGATCTGGCCGATTGGATAAACAAGACGTTAAGTGAGTACATACGTCGTTTTATTATAGATAGAGCATATTTCTGCGAGATCAATATCGATCAGCAAGAAACTTTTACTTGAATGAGCTCGTGACATCGTCAAGGTCGGCGAGCATCGTTTCGTGAGAAATTTCGATAACCATTAGATATTAGTTTCGCTGATTTATGAGGAAAGCGAATAGCTTTTGCGAATCTATAGCATGCGAACTTGCAGGCCGAAATCAGAGCATGAGTCAGAGTATTATATCGACTTTTTCAATAGAATGCAAAATTAAACTTGACATCAATTGCTTCTTTCTAATTAATTTCGCATTTGCGTTTCGATGTCCGTATCATGCAAACTTTGTTGTGACAGGACAATGTATTGCGTGTTATCTTTAAAATATTATTTTCATGCAAAGTTATCAAGAGTTTTATTTTTGCATTTAATCATTATTTGAGAAAACTGATAAGTATTTCGGGAATTTCAAATATTTATTATCAAATATTTATTTGAATATATCAAAAATTAAAACGCATATTTAAAAGTAATATATTAATTTTTTTTATATATTTATTCTATTGTATGTATTTATTCTTTCTTATCTATTATATATATTTTTTCGAAAGAATTTAAATAAATTTTTTCGCATATTTCAAAAATTTATTTACGTTCTCAATATTTAAAAAAATTAAATTGAGTACACGAGAGAACGTCACATAAAGCGTATTAGAATTCTAATCTTGCTACTTTTTCCATTTAACTCGATCATGAATGCCACGTAGGTGGTAAGGTGCAAAAAGAAATCAACGTGGCGTAATGTCGTGTAACGATTGTACTTTCGCGCTGTTCTTGGCCATCCACCTTTTTTCACGTTGCTGATGTAAAGTCATTTTAAAAAGAACCGGCCTATGTTATACCACAGGATGTGGCGTGCATGTGCATGCCTTACACTTTGATATGTAATAACCACACGAAAGTTAGCATCTGGCGCGACGTGGGAAAGGATATTCATAATATTTCGTTTTATATCTCATCGCGTGTTGATCAAACGGCCTTACAAAAATGTGTATGCCATATGCTTAAAATTTAGCGAAGCTTATATTGACGAGACAAAAATTTTCAAGGACGGTGCCAAATAACAGTATATTATTTTACAAAAAATTTCATTACTCTAATCCATTTGACAAGCCATATGAAGGATGACTACATAATGATTTAAAAAATAACTGTAAAAGGAAGAGCTGAGATTGATAAGCAATTAATTTATTTCATTGTGTTACGGGTATCTAAAGTAACAAGCCGCATAAAAATTGTGACATATTTCTTTCAGGAAAACATATTTTATCGATACTAAATTTGAGGAATTTAAAATAGGTGAAATTTCCACAACTTAAATTACATATGAAGATCGCACTAATTGGATTCCCGAAACGAATCTACAAGGTTAATGCTGTAAAAGTTTCCATCCGAAACTATCTAATCAAGGAATTATTGATAGATGGTTCTTCAATTTTACCGTTTCGTACTATTCATGACTGAAACTTGTTAGTCGCTTCAATTTGAAATTAAAATTAATCATTTTTATCGTTATTGTAATAATGCATTTTATATCATCATACATTTATATTAATATATTCTATGATTTTATGAGTTATCAAATAGTAAGTGTAATATTGCACAAATATATGGCATCATATTTTTTTAAATATTTATTTGTATTTAAAGGTAGTTTATCTGCCAATGCTTTAAGAACCTTTAATTATTAAATGCAAGCACAACAAAAAAAAAGTTGAATGACGAAAAGAGCAGTAGTCCGTGATTCTTTTTCTACGAGGAACTGGAAATCGTCCGATGGCTATCTAATTCTAGGCGTGCATATGACCGCCTTTCTGAACTGCTAGTTTCCTAATACGGTACGAATACGAGTTGATGCGTAAAATAGAACTGCTACGGTGTACTGAACGTCGCAGAAAGTAGCAATTTCGACGCTACGCGGTGTTTCACGTAACAAATATTCGCGACGCAGGCTTTTCACTGAACTACCATCGATTCTCAACTCTGACTTTACACTTTTGACGAATAATATTGAAAATTGTCACGTATATCTCTCGCGAAAATTAGTTTTGATATTAGAACATGCCATGGATAAAGAGGATAAAATATTAATATTGTTAGATCGTATGTAATTAAATTGTATCGTGAACGAAAATTAATAATAAAAGCATTTATTGGATTCGTTTCTACATAATTTGATTCACTTGCGGTTGCAATACTTTCGCCCCTGATTGCACATTGTTTCGTGTATGCAATTAAGCATATGAATGATCAAAGAAAATATATATAAACTGTATATAAAGTACACCGCTGATATAGTTTGGCAAAGGGAATGTGCGAAAACGAGTGTGGTCTTTCACGCAGCCTCGAATAATCCAACTCCAAAATGTGGACCACCCTGAGAGATTGCGACACGAGTGAGATGCAGGAAAAACGAATGATACGTAAACGAACATCCAACGTGTACGTATAATTAGCCACAAAAGAACAAGGTGATACACGAGTATGATTTACGAGATTCGCTTACATTATGTCGCTTAAAATACATCGACTTTGACAGAGATTGTCAGAGATGCTCAATAATATTAAATTAATGTCAAATGATACGTGTATCGTTTTTATAATATAATTTTAGTTTGGTAAATACAAAGCTGATGTATTAAATGTTTTAAGATTTTCCAGACATTTTCTTTTAAATGTTGGATGACAATGAAAAAATTGAATTCATTTATTCACTTGAACACGAATATGAATATTAATGATATTTAAAGACAAGAGATTTTATTATACATCAAAGATGCGCGAAGAAACCATATTCCTTCACACATATTATGCGAATGTAATGTGTGCACATAATGTATGCGGTGTAATTTTGCAAATTGTTTTCCTTTTCTTTAGCTGGTATATAATTTTAGAGTTCACTCGAGAGAACTTTCCCTTTACCAAAGTATGAATTTATGTATATATTCATATGTATAATCTGCGACAATATCGATTATTTGCACTTTAAGTGTACAAATTAGACAGCTGAAAATTGGGTCCTAAAACGTTTTGCTTTCTTTTTATGAATATCGTTAACGAAAAAAAATTTAATATGTTTTTATTGCTAAATCATTTACGTGCGGTATTGTATCCAATAAGAAGCGTAGTTTTGAAAAGATACTTTTAACGAGGCGTGAGATCGTAAAAGAAAAAAGACATTTAATGAGTTTCCAAAGACGGTGGGAAAGGTTGAAATTTGCTTGATCGTTCTTAAGGTGTTTGCTCATTTGAGTTTGTTTGCCGAACAGATTTGCTCGCGCAAATTTTTTTTTTTTTAAACTCTAGGAAGATCAGAATTTAAAATAAGCGATATATGTGTAGAAAATAATTGTTTAACTTTAAAATATAACTAATATATGATTGATCATATATATATATATATATATATATATATATGATTACTCGCGTATTTTGTATATATTTGATATAAATATTTTACTTATAATGTATATTGAATATACATTATAAGCATTTTACATGTATATTAATATTTGATATATTTGGTGTAAATATTTGATATAAATCAAAGTAAGATTGAATGCTCGATATAATGTTATTATAATTTATAATTTACATTCCTATAGCTACATATCAGACGAGTTCTTTCTAAGGAATTTATATAAAATGAAGAGAGAGAGAGAGAAACTTCTTTCATTGAAGCTTCTCATTGACATTCAAAGGTTGCCAAAGTATGATTGGCGACGTGAAAAAAATAAAACGAGAGTCTTTCGTTACCCACGCGCGCCCTGCGGCTCTTGACAGTTGCAAAGCCTCTGTGACTCAACCGGAAGCTAGCCGGGCACCCCTCTTCCTTTCTTGCCACTTCTTCTCTACTCCCTTCATCACGGGGCACCCAAAGCCGCATTACGCATAATGGGCGTATGCCTTCCTAATACATTTGCGCATCCGCACGGACAACAACGATCGTCGATGTGAGACGTCTTTTAAAGCGCGGAAATATTGCCGTGGCACGCGCTGCGGATGTTCAACCAGCCGTAAATCAGAAAGCGAAACCTCTGGATCGCATCGCGCTAATTTATCGTTGCCGATTATTCCGTCGATATGAACGACGTAGAGGTGATCGCGTTCACGGTTGTGGACTCGGTCGGATTTATCGTGGGATCCGGATTGCGATATGCACCGTTTGAGCGGCACGCTTCCGAGCAAATCGTGATCGAGCTTCGTGCCGTTTTATCTTGCCGCCGCTATATTGCGTAGCAAATAGTTAAAAAATGTCCGTTATACCCTCGCTTAGCTCGCCCTATGACACGAGTGAACGGAATAGATACGTGTGTTTCGGTGTAATCGTTCTTCGAGAACAATTAGAAAATAAATGCGAAAGTATTGCCCTTAAAAGAAGTCAGTTCGCTATTAAAATAAAACGACAGTGTCATCAAGGATTTAACGAAAATACGGGTCACGGTGCACAATAATTACGTGAAGCCTCAAGTGTTAAGCAATCGTGTGAGGATGAAGGGCGGACGTCAGTACTAATAAAAGTCGAAGGAAGTCCTTCCTTTCGCCGCGTCGGTTATAAACTCGTCGCGAAATTTATGCGCAACCTGAGCAGAGGTTGAACCGTATATCTTTATTCGAGCCAGAGATGCAACATACCTTATTATACTCGCTCGAAACCCAATGATCGATAACTGTGCCGATCAATACCGTGTAACTATCATCGCAAATCGATGTGCCGGAAAATCATGGTCGATACGATCTGAGGAAGGCTGTAAAGTTTAAAATAGAAAAGAACCGTAAGGCGATTATAATTGACTTAAAATTATTAAAAAATAATTCTAATGTATATAATAAACTTATTTAAAAAAAATATATATATATATGTATATATACACTTGCGAGCTTTATCAACTTTTAATTTTTAATTCTCAAATTTTAATCTTCGACTTTTTACAAAGACTCAGCTCTTAACTCACGATCTTGTACTTTGAGAGGATTCTCAATTCGCACTTTATATTATCGCACGAAAATAATGCAAATAACAATGGAAAATGTAAATCGATGGAGAGACTAACGAGCCTTGGATAGCTCTTGTTACAATATCGAAGAAACTGTCTCATATTGAGAGCACAACGATCTGCCTATTGTATGTATAGAGTTTATTATCCTGTAACGCGAAACAAACGAGCAATTCTCCGCGATATATAAGTACATCCGAGATATTGTCGAAGCTACATTTGATCATAACTTTTACGTTTAGATATTCGAGGGGAGTTTCTTTGACAACGAGATATCGCGAGCAATTCGCCGCGAAATCGTTTCCTCGATCCCATATGCGAATTCACGTATTGCATACGATTCTTACGGATATTGACCTCAGATCCGTTTGGGCGACGCTTTGGAAAACGATGTTCTAAACTTGCATCGCAGACAGGTAACGACATAATGCTACAGACATGTATCTCAGCCCGGTGACGGGGAACATGGTCGCTTTACGTAGTTCCGGGTGACCGAGTTCTCGCACGGCGGGAACTCTTCGCGCATCCATGCACGTGCTCGAGAGTCCGAGTCTGCTCAATCAATAATTTTTAACCAGTAAAAGTCACCTTCTGCCCAGCGAAAATAATTCATTTAAAAATCTATGAAAAAATAATTTGATAAAGGATTTTATGTATGATCGTATGTAGTCTGGATAGACTACATAAATAAAAAAAAAGAACAATTTTACGCGGTATCTTCCATATCAATTATTTCTGATATTTTAAATAATTTTTAAATAATTATATAAAACAGAAAAAGAGAGAGAAAAGGATGCGTATATCTTTTCAATTATGGAGAATCAATTCTTAAGATCTGAGATTTAAAAATTGGTAAAAATATTATTAAAAAAAAGATATTTCATAATTAATCTTTTTAAATTATTTTATACTTATCAAATTACTTTATTTTTACGGAGAATCGAGATATCGATCCCCTATTCCTATGACTTATTGGCAATCCCGATGCACGTGGTGCCACGTGATGGATTCTGTGCCACGGACCCGCGTTCTTTTCGTCATGCTCTTGGTGCCAACCCTATTGTTGTTACCAGATCGAGTCACGAGTCTGCGCTTGCGGGTTCTCATTACCATTTATATCTACGAAACACTATCGCTACGTCGGGGCCCAACCTAGTTCCTATTTCCCATCGTGCCCGCTCTATATCTATATAGATGTCTATGAAATCGTGTCGCGGTGACCCTGCGAGTTTTCCTTAGATCCGTTTATCGATCGGTGATTCTATATTGGAAGAGAAACCAAAGATTGAGAGAGATATTCAGGTTAATTAAGAGTCGATTCACACTATCGATCCACTCACGGTCCGATCACGGTCCGATCAAATATTTTTCCATTGTTTATAAATGTATGTATTTATACTATGGATAATGCTCAGGTCCGATAGCCCATAATGCGAATTCATAAACGATGAATAGAAACAATGAAAAAATATTTGATCGGACCGTGATTGAATTGTGAGCGGAGCGATAGTGTGAATCGACTCTAAAGTGCCTTTAAAGTCGGGCATTATGAATTATATCATATATATATAGAACATAAGTATTTTTTTAAAAGTATAACACTGCATAGTTTAAATATTATTCTTAATATTGCACAATTATTATTCGTTTGTATACTAAATCTCTATAATTATAAAAAAATTTTTTTCTAGTTATAAAAAAGCGTTTCTCTGATATGTTCTGTTTTGATGAACTTTTGCTTGTAATTTTCTATAATACATTCACGTTTCAAGCTAAAAAATTTCAAATTATGAATGATGAGTAATAAAAATAAATCACGTAGATACACGTGACACGAGAAGAAGAAAAAACTACGGAGTATTTTGCGAAAGGAATGATTTGCTTATAATTCGAGTCCTGCTTTATAACCGGTGAAATTCAATTGCTCTAGTATCTTCAGTATGATAGATATGTAATCAATATCTCATGCATGATAGATATATAATCAGATCACAACGATCGTAATGTTACTACAATCATTTATACCCTGAAGACAGAAGATAACGGATCGAAACAGGAGTTGATAATAGATAACGGTTGATGGTGAACGTAAATCGGCGCGCACATATGCTTACTTTATCATTTATGTGTGTGGCTGCATTCATGCATCAACTACTAAAGAATAATGAATGCACACTAGAGATGATAACGCAGATTGTAATAGATAGCATAGGCTCGGATTAATGTATATATGATTAACGAACATGTTAAAACCGAAGAATAGAAGAATAGAAATAGAAGCGCACGCCTCGTAGAGAAAATTAAATAATTTTCTAGAATAGATGAAAATTCTCTTGTTAAAATCTGTTTTGTAAGATGTATGACATGTATGAGGAGAAGAGACAAGTTATAAGGACGATAGTTAATAGTAACTAATCATCATGAGCACCAATGGATTGATACACGTAATCAATGTTAAATAAAGAGGCTAAAAATAGAGTTGTGTAGAAAAAATTGAATAATTTATCTAATTTAAAGGTGAATAAGAATCTTTGTTAGAATTTGTTCTGGAGCAAAAAAAATCAGTTGGTTCATTCCCAGAGAAAGTCAGAGAATTTTTTCATTAAATATCTGTCAGAATATCTCATCTCTTTCCATTTCAAATGAATATTGGAAAGTCTTATTATTTGGAAAAGTGGAACGTGTGTCCTTGATCTGCTAATATCTACACACGGCAGTGAACGAAACTAAAATGATTTTACAGTTACGCATGATTCGATCTATCGTGAGAGAATCGGGACCTGACTGCTTTTCGCTTGACCCGCCGTGTCAGATCGACATTCTTGATGCGCTTTCAAAGTATCACCTTTTTTCGGAAATCGTGGGACGTGATGAAAGTCGAGATCAGAATCTTGCAAAAGATGAGTCAGCTTAAGCCGTTGTCTCATTGTTTTCTCAGTCGTTTTGTCTCAGTTGCGATCGCTGATTTTAAACGCGTCGTCCTTGAGGATTGCATGCTATTGATTTATTGCACGATTATTCGAGGTAAATTTGTTTCTTTAAACAGGCCTCTCTTCGACCGATTAAACCGGCTGGCTGATCGATATCTGATATATAGAATCTGAACGAATCATCATTGCACATCATTACACTTACTATAATAATACTACAATTATGTAGCTTATCGATTGTATCGAATGATTGTTTTTTGCAAATTTCCAAAAAATTGTCGACTATCGATGTAATTCTAGTTTTATGAATTTTACTATAAAAACTTGTTTACTGTTATTATAAAATATAATTATAAAATACAAAATATTATAAGTAGCGCATTATAATTATAACGATTAAGAAAATAAATAAAACGTAAAATATAATAATTTGCAAGTGCAGTTTGATAGAGACTGAATAAGATTGAACGATGGATAATTCTTCTCGTTATAATGTATCACTTTATTGAGCCACTTGAGTGTGTCATTGAAAGCTACTCGTGTAGTTTATGTCGAGAGTTATATTATCGTGAATGTGCGTGTCTGGATTATTACAGATGTGACAAGAGGAAGAGAAAGAAACAGACTTAATTCTGCAATTTTCGAATTTCAGATGTGGATTATATAACGGGTGACAATTTCTTCGATGTGCTCGATAATGGCGTGATTGTCTGTCGACTGGCAAGGGTTATCCAGGAAAAAGCGAGATCCGCGATAGAAGCTGGACGAGCTAAAGGAGTAAGTATATTACTAGTCATACGCTCATAATTTTATAGACCAATATTTTTCCGAGCACATATATTTTTCAGTAATTATCTTTTTGCATCAAAACGCAAAATGTATTCGTCATAAACAAAACTTCTTTCTTCGATATTATTTTATATGCAATAATATTAAATTATTCCTAAAAATCTGTATCGTCAGAATTTGTGATTGGAGAAAATATGTTTCGATACAATAAAAATTCTAAACTCTTTCTATTTTGCAAAAAAAAACATGGAGAAACTATTGTTGCAGTCGGTACCAGTAATACGTGGCCGTTGCTGGGAAAATGCCGCACGTCGCAGCTTCTTTTCCCGCGACAATATGGAGAACTTTATACAATTCTGTCGGCGGCTGGGCGTCCACGAGAATCTCCTCTTCGAAAGTGACGATCTCGGTAAAGTTCGGCACAATTAATTTTAATGCATGCGAATTAAGTAGAGACTCATCGCCGCGTGTCGCTGTTCATTTTATCGAGCAACTTTCAACGAGACACAATTTAAACGCGTACTCGCTTTTAAGTTGATGGGTGGTAATTAGGAAAAACACTGTAATCGACTCGCGCAATCCTGCGGTGGACGTGCATGTCGCATAAATTATGATCCAGAGGTATGCAAATCCGGAGCGATCGTGAAGCGAGAGTAATCGCCGCGTTGATTGCGCGCGATTTTGAGGAAAGTGGAACGGATTCACGCTTCTTTGAAGATCAGAACGCTTTCTCACTCGATCAGCTTTAATTGTCATCGAAAACAATGCAATTGCATAAATGACATAATAGTGTAATCAATAAATAGCATAGCAAGAAGGTCGCCTTTGAAACGAAAGCTCATGCATCTTATTGTATTATTGCGGTGACTTGAATATAATAATAAATAATTAATAAGGATATATGTTAAATATTGTCATTTTATACTAATCTTTTTACAGTTTTACACGGTCAACCACGGAATGTAGTGCTATGTTTATTGGAAGTCGCACGACTGGCGGCTAAATATTCTCTAGAACCACCTGGACTCGTGCAACTCGAGAGGGAAATCGCGGCGGAGCAAGAAAGGGATCTTCACTGTTTGTCTGACAGCGGTATATCTCACAGCAGCCTCTCTTGGCAACTTCAATCACCGTCACCGACCGCTACGCCCAGACCGCCGGAGAAGATCAAACACAGCAGGTAAATAAATTGTATATTTCAAGCCCATATATAGCTGAAATTTTCGAATATCATTGCTTGATCATTCTAGTATGTAATCCGACAATCTCGCAACCGATCCCATCACGTATCTTCAACATGTTGCGTACAACGGTAACGGTCGACAAAGCGATGAGAAACCGAAACTTAACCGTTACAGCATGTATAAGTTATTCGTTCGCATAATTTCTGTTTCGCTTACGCGCACCGCATTTGAAATGACGTCCAATACTTCGAGATATATATTCCGTTCGTTTACGATAATAGATTTCTTCGTCATGTTAACACCACTGTCTGGGCAATTTTGCGAGGTGTGAGGAGAAGACGGATTCGCCGTAATGCAATTCCATAGGAGTGGCTGAATTTTATAGCATGCAAAATATTTTATGATACCAACGTCAAAAGTTGCGATAAAAGTTGCCACATTATGCTTGACTGAATAATCAGAATTAATATTCATTCTATTGAATTGTTTCTTCCATATTGGAAAGATAAATTCTATTTAAACAATTTAATAAAATTAATTTTGATATATATAATCTCATCATATCATCATCTCATTATATTTCATAGATGGCTATAATTGCGATTTATTTTTTACAAATGACATTTCAACTATCGTCGTTTTTTTTACAAAATCTGTCTATAAAATATACTATCTCTTATCGTTTATATTTTTATTTGATTTTTCTCTAACTCTCAAATCATGTGCGATTAATGAACCAATCATTGCGATTTTTATAAATAAAACATAAAAAGATATTCTTGAATTTATTGCCTATATTATGGGACAATTTGAATATTCTGTGGAAGCATTTGAGAGTTTTTTTTTTATTGTGGATCGTAATGTCTTCCAGCTCGGCGTCCGAAGTCGCGACGACGGCCACGCGATGGTTGGATCCCGTGACCGGTGCCACGCACGAACCTGAAATGCGAAGGTCCGTTAGCGACAATGGTCCGACTGGAAGCGATGGCGTGCCGAGTGACACAACCGAGGACGACTGGTCCCGCGGCAGCGCCGAGGATCCGGACGAAGTTCCATCGCCGTCGAGTTCGCCGTCACCTTCGCCGGCCGAGCCACCGGAGCACACTGGCCCGATAACAGAGCTCGATCGCAAGGTATCATAAGCAAAATGTTCTACTTTCACATGGAAGTTTCAATGGCAGACACTTTGAGAATTTTAAGTTTCAAGCTACAACTCTCTCTGTTTTCTCTATTCGATATTATCTTATCATCGGGACTCTACGTATCGCGTTTATTATATCTATAATAGTTTTCAATAAGAGTACCTCACGAATGAATAATATTAATTTTTTCCTCGGAAATAAAATTCCGATATTCAAAGATTAATGCGATATATTATACGAGATGATGCTTCCTTCACGAAGGAAAATGCACGCAGGTAAAATTGAATAATTTATATCTTCCTTATTAATGTTAATGTTACTTCTCTAACGTCCTCGCACGTTGTTTCACTTATATGCTCGCGTATCTCGTGCGTGTCGTTGAGAAAATCTTGGTTCTACGAGTTGTTATACTCTCGTATCGCGCTGCATTATAATTATTATCGTGCGAGAGGAAAAAATGCACAGTTGAAGGAAGGTTTCTCGCATAGTTCTCCATGCACACGTTTTCCATGCACGCGTGTCAAATACCTTCATGCCTAGCAGCGGAAGTTCCACTACGTATCTTTGACTCTTTTTACTCCTCGATGACACGTCGAAGCGATTTATCTCGCGTGACATGATCAATCGTTCTTCGTCCTTACAACGAAGGCCTGATGAACAGAAACGATCGTCTAAATATACTCTGTATCTCTTCATTTTAAATTCAGTATCTTCGGTATCGCATGCTTCTCTTTTTTTTCTTTTCGTCTACAGGTGCGAAGAGCTACCGAGGCCATCCAGAGACTCTGTCAATGCCCATCAGGAAAATGCTCCAAATTGAAAGTGCGCAAAGTCGGCGAAGGTCGCTATCACATCGCGGGACGTAACGTCTTCATCAGAGTACGTATATATCTTTTGACATTTTATAAATATAAATCATAATTTTATAATATTAAAAAATTACTGAAAAAATCGAGAAATTACTATAACAACAATATAACAATTTATAAACTATTTTTATTCAAGGCGAATTTTACTTCTTCTCGAGTAGCCTCTCGTTATTTAAGAACTGTAGCCCGAAAATCTCTCTCTTCTCTTTCTTTATTCATAACACGTCGCGGTGATCCTATAAACCTGCCGTTAACGACCACGACGCTGACGTGTTCGCAGCTTCTCAAGGGGAGACACATGATGGTGAGAGTGGGCGGCGGATGGGATACCCTGGAACATTTCCTGGCGAGGCACGACCCCTGTCAGGTGAGGGTTCTTAACCGCGAGAGCACGCCGCCTCCCGCCCGTGGCACCAAGCACGACAGCTTCCTGCACATTCGGGCCAAGTATCGCAGCCCGCCGTTGGAGCCAAGCCTCTCACGTCGGTCGCTGGCCTAAGAGCACGTAGTGCCTAATCATGCGATCACGCGACCCCTCGGGCTGCTCGCACGCGTGGCGCACATGCGAAATTGATATCGTGGTTTCCGGCACTCAGCTATCGCATCTTGCCGCGTACATACCATATAAGAGCACTCGATATTCTCAACTCTGATGAACACGTCGATCACTCGGCGTGTTAAATGATGCGACGAAACGTGGCAGCTCGTGTATTACCGTAATAAGAAGGCAATTCACGTGGTTTTCGCGCACGATACATTCCTTTTTTCCAGCACTACGCTCGACGACCCGAAAGAGATGAGGGAAGAAAGACGCCGCGGATCGTCTCAAGAGCTTGCGGTTGTTCTCATGCACATTCCGATATTCATGTATGCTATTTGCGAGGTATCTTTGCAGGCCGAATCTCTCACCGGTATCGTTCACGCCAGTTTACACAATGCGATACCTCTTTTATCCTCGTATTTACTATACATCTTCAATTGTGTCACGTGCATATATTTGTCACGCATGTATGTACGCGTTATTTGTAGGTCACGGTGTAAGAGCGCACACGAATCACACTATTTTTATTGTACATTGTGCCAGGTGTTTGAAAAGCGTGTCGAAATATATCCTCGCTGATACGCTGCTGGTTTTTGAAGATGGCAGTGTGATTATGAATAATCAAAGTTTTATATCCAAGATTGTATAATTCCATAACTCGGGATACTTTGATTATTCAATATTTATCAACGAATATATATTATATGTGCTTCCATCTTTTGAATCACTTCTCTTCAGGTACTAACATAATTAACGTCTATATCTGGAAATTCTTCGACAAAGTCTAGAAAGTGTGTTGCACTCGGTAATAATAATGTTAAGAACGCAATGACCAAATTTTATTTTTAGAACTATGTCACATCATGATGTAATCATTATAATAATAATAATAATAATAAAATAGTGATTTGAATAAATATCCATTTAAGCTCAAACATTGTGCCCTTGTACGTGCAATAAAAAAAACAAAAGTGCAATTAAAGTCTCAGGTAGATAATCGTCTATATAAATGTATCACGCCTTAAAAAAGATCGATAAATTTTTTTCTCGATCAAGTTTCTTTTTGCAATATTACTACAGTATTTTTCTTTAAATAATTGTACGAATTTTACAAAATTCTTATAATCATGCTAAGTTGTAAATTTTAATTATTAATAACGTAGTTTTCTTGACATTCAATCCTCTTCGGCTTTCAACTTTGGTCATTGCTCTATACTAATATATTCTTATAATGCACTGTCATATTTTGCGACGAGCACGCAAAATCAGACACTTATACATCGTAACAATCACACAGAATCGGCTAAATTTTTTTTATATATTAGATTTAATATCTCGAATGTTTATAAGAATTGCTATTATATCTAAAGTAGTATATTACTAGTATAACTAGTATATTAAACTCGATAAATGAATTTTGCGTTATTATAAGCTGACATTTTGATAAAATTATATAATTATATGATTATGTCTATTAACACATTTGTATTCCAAATTTTTTAAAATGTACTTACTTCCTTCTTTCTTTTTATTTAGATATAATAATCAGTAATCAACTTACAAATCTTATTTTAGCCGATTCTGAAATTTATTGATACACTTTAGTATTTAATTAATATCTAATACAACTTGTATCGCCTAACACGTAAAATGCTTAATTGCCTAAAACGTATATGTTTTGTACTTTTATAAAATATTTAGAAAAAATAAGGAATATAATATATATATATATACACCGGCGCATTTTCTGCCGAATTAATTAAATAGTATAATTATTCCACTTACAGAAGTGCAAGAGCACAGTATGCAAAGGAATACCAAAGCAGAGAAACACGCGACGAGTAATGTCAGCTCGTTGAAGCTAATTAAGTTGTGATTCGTTTATTTGTTGCGCTGAAAGATTGTAATTGTGTGTTTCACAAATCAATATCCTTTATGAATTATAAATAATCAATTCTCTCACTGCGTTCAATTATCCTTTGCGAAGCAGAATCAGTTAAATTGTGATTTGCACTATAAAGTAATAAGCTTAGAATTTAGCGAGCTATTACAGGGCCTTACGTTACATAATATAATTATGTTATATAAACATAATTATACTTGCGAAGTTATTTCTTATGCGTAATTAAATCGCCCTGCCTAATTAAACTAATTTCGCCATATTATGTAATTGTAAATAATTGCCCCGACATATCGATAAATAGCTGATTTAAGTTAATCGTACCTGCTTTATACTACGTATGTATATTAACGGATAAGTTACATGTTCTATATATTTAATAAGTTGTTTATATATGTTGTCAATGTCTTTTTATTAAAAACTACGTTATAGACATTCGATTTTTTCATTAAATACATGTACTTCGATGATGTAAAAGAATATTATATAAATTTAGTTGGGGAAATTATTCTTTACAATAAGATGTTGAAACGATCTAACTGATAAATGTTATTTTAAAACAAGTTATAGTCTGTGTCAGTACGGCTTCGTAATTATTTGGCTATTAATCAGCATTGTAATAATATTATAGTGTATTAATGTAGACTTTGTTTTCATAATTGTATTAGGCTTTTGTTAAAAAAATTTTAATATTTTGTCTAATATGTATACATTGTATACCACATATTATCTTAATCTATTCAACTAATTTGAAGCTACTATGTCGGTTGTTATATTTTGTTGAACAATAAAATATCTGACTGATATAAATCTGAAAATTACATGATTAATAAATTATCAACCACTATTTGAGTCAATTTCGTATAATGCTATTCTTTTCTAAGCAATCACATGGCGTAATTCAAGAAATATAAAATTATAAATGGTTATAATGGTTTTATTTTATATTGTTTATTGATATATTGAGTCAATATAGTAAGTTTTATTTTTTGATAATGATTATTGATGATTATCTGGATAATTATATATGAAATTTTCTTTATTTTGTTCAAGTCTTTATTATACTTTAAAATTACTTATAATTAGTTATTGGGAGATATATTTTACTTGTGTACTAAATATACATTTCATACAAATTCTATCAAATTTATTACAAATTAATTTGCGAACAAACGTTTGATTAAATATTTTCTTCTTATTGAAATTATTTCTACATAATAGAAAACATGTGATTCGTATAATCCTTGGAAAAATTTTTGGTATGTATCATATAATATATAGACGTATAATATATATATAGCGCGCGTTCCCTCCCTCTCCTTTGTTTCGATAATATGAAATTTTAGAAAGCGAATGCTTATGTTTATGATAGTTTCCTTTTTGTCTAACGACCTGGCAGGGAAAAGAAGTCGATCAAGCCATATGGCAATGGCCATATTGAATTTTTGTCCCACTCTAGGTATTGACAAAGAAACTAACACCATGAAAACATGTTGTCTCTTTCTAGAATTTGTACAACTTTTTAGCCTTTTAGCCACGAAGTCTATATATTATACATCTATGGTATGTATTTGATTAAATATACTATAAAATATAATAAAATTCAATGATATATAAAATATTTCAGTTATATAGTAATTAAAGTAATAATACTATTATTGAATAATACAATTAAAATGAATAATTATATTCAAGTGGTATAAAAAGATGTGTTTGTGATCAAATACTCTTTACTTCTTTTTGCTTTTGCCTAACGTTAACGTATGATGTTGGGGTTGCTGCGCAAATTGCGCTTTTCGTCTATTAAATTCTAGTATATCATCCTCGAGTTTCTTACGATTTTCTTCTAATTTCTTTTTGTCTTCTGCATGATCTTTCTTTAACTTATCAAATCTACTGTGCAGCTAAAATATAATATGAGAAAAATTAGGAAAAAATATAACAATTAGCAGTTGTATTAAGATAATAAATATAATTTGGTGTATACTAATTTAATTAAAAATTTGCTACCTCTTTCTCTGCCTCTTTTAATTCAGCTTCTTTTTCCCTGACTCGAACAACAAACATCTGTCGCATTTCATCTTCTTTTTGTTGCAATTCTTGTAAATGAATGGATCTTTTTGCTTCACATGTCTGTTGAAAACTTACTGGTTTGTTATCACTATCAACGTCGCTGAAACCCATCTAAAAATTCATAACAAGCGGCAATAAGAAAATGTTTTCAATTAAAAATTTTAATGTTTTCAACAAACTTTTCAATAAACAATATAACATACTTGTTCTAATCTCTTTTTTCGATAAAGTTCATAATGGCGACAGTGAGTTTTTTCACGCATATCTTCCATATTAGTACTTATCAGCATCTCGCGAAGTTTTACAAAATCACAGTGAGATTCGTTTTCAACTGTAATGTTATATAAAGTGTTAATATATAGACATTTCTAATTTTTTCTTAAAAGTATAGACACTGTGAATAAAATTTATTGCTTTACCTTGAACTGTACCCCATGGATATTGACGGGAACGCATCATTTTATTTCCTACGCGAACGAAATCGGTGCTGCCAACAACGGCAAATGGTACATGAGCGTTCATGGTGGTATTTATATCTGATACAGTCTCATCATCAATTGGAAATTGATAAATGTGTATTCCATTATTTTGCAATTCAGATATGATTTTGCTCTGAAATATAAATGAAAGATTATAGTTTGCTTTGAAATTTAATAGAAGATTATAGTACAAATAGAATTAAAATAATCAAAATAATCTCGATGAAAATGCAACAATACCTTAAATTTCTGTAATTCAGTCTTTGATATTGTATCTGCTTTAGCAATAATTGGAATGATATTAACTTTGGTATCCAATTTTTTCATACATACTAAATCAATGGATTTCAGGCTAAAAATATAAGTACATATATGAGATTAAAATAATCCATAATTTATTAATAATAAACCAATTTATGTAAGATTAATAAACTTACCCATGACCGGTAGGACATATGAAATAAAGGCAAACATGGATACGACTATCATGATAAGTTGCAAGATTACGCTTGATTTTTAATTCTTCTTGCAAATAAGCTTCAAATTGTGCATCTATATAATCAACAACTGCCTTGAAACTATCCTCTTTATTGATTTGATCACCATAACCAACTGTGTCAACAATAGTTAGCTTCAGTCTAACATTACTTTCTTGCAACTCATAGGTATGTGCTTTAAGCTTTACTGATGGCAAATTATGAGGGCTAGGACTAGATTCAAAGCTTGTATTAAAGAGGGAATCCATAAGTGTGGATTTTCCAAGCCCAGTTTCACCTATTGGAATATATAAATTAATTCTAAATATATATATTATACATTATTAAATAGACCTATATTAAATTAAATAAACATATAATAGAAATTATTAAAATCAAATTAACATTTGTCATACCAATACAAAGAATATTGAATAGAAATCCATTTTGTACTGATTTATTCACCAACTGACTGGGTAAACTGTCAAATCCAACATGACCTGATAATTTTAGAGTACGCAGCATAGACTCCATCTAATAATTGAAATTACATGTCATTATTATATTGCAAAGAAGTAGAGAAAAATAGAAAGAGAGACAGAGAGAAAAAGAAAGTGTATCCATAAATAGAATGAAATAAATGCATTGAAGGAATGCTCAACTTGATGTACAGTTATGATATGATTCCAAAGAGAGCCAACACCCCTGAATTTATGACACACAGCCTTGTATAGATCTAGATATCCTGTTATAGTTACATATAACAATATTAAACATGCTTCAACAAAATGACTGTGTAGAAAAAAAATAAAAATAAATTTTAATTTTAATTAAGAGATATGGATATCATTCTTTTAAGTACTCTTAATACGAAAATGTATTAAATGAGGAACAATTGCTTGATAGATCACAAACATCGACATGACAGTCACAGATACACTCGACTCGATTATTTAACGAAATAATATAATGCTATGTTTGTAGCATTGGCAGAAGGAGGCTCGATGAAAAGATGAGAAAATCTTCGTAGTACCTTAGCACGGTCAATATCCTCTGTCGCCATTTTTCCTGGGGGTTCGTTGCGAACACGACGCGAATGAGTATGGGCAGAAAGAAGCCTGAGAGCGGCCATTCCGGAGCACCCCAGAGATATTTATCAAATCTCGTTTAATACCGCCATCTACATCTATTTCGGAGGCCATGTAGAATTACGTAACCGAAGTTACTTTTCGACACTATCGGTAAAATCATTGTTCGATCTATCAGGATCTATATAGCACGGATTCGTACCAAAAAATGATCTTACCAGCAATCTCGAAGAGCTATCCTAGTTACATAATTCCACGAGGATGTAGATGGCAATAATAAATGAGACTTGGCAAAATGACTGCTCTTGGCTACTTTTGACTGACATCGCGACTCACAACTAGTTCCAATTTGAAGTACGCATGCTCTTACTGCAGCTTGTCGACGCGAATTATCAATAGGGCGTAGAGTATTTGTTTAGCGGTAATTAAAGTGGAGTGCGTAAATTGGTTTGATTCGGTTTGATTTGCGCATCATAAATTCCATACATCTACGATTTCTTGCCACGAGTGATAAATAATAGCCCGAGATCATTATCGGACTAATTTGCAATTTAATTGTAGCATGAATCTAATGAAAAAATATACATATATTTGAATTTCTCATGTTGAAGAAAGTTTAAAAGCGTGACTTTCGTGATTATTATATTATCAGAGATCTTTCCTCTTTTTTCTTATATATTATACATATAAACAAATTAAAATATTTCTTGCAGAAAAGATTCTACTTCAGATATGCTAATATAATAAGTATAATAATAGTGTGATAATATAATGTAATATATAAATAGAATGTAATATATAAATATTCTTTTCAATTTCAGACAGACATGCACGATGAATTAAATTTCAATTCAATAAATATCTTATCACTACTGCAAGTAATTATGACATCGACTCGAGTCTATCGCTTTCTTCATAATTCTCACAATCTGCAATTAAATTTCAATTAGCCTCGAGACGTTCGTTAACGTTTTCCTAGTACTCTGATTTCTACACCGAGATGCGAGTTTGTATATTCCGCCGACGTGAGACCGCGCGCGCGCGACGCGCGTCGCGGCGCCGAACGTTGGTATCGCCGGCATGCGCGCGTGTGTGCAGCGGTGTCCGCGGTGTCGCTGCCTAGGAACATTCGGGCCGGCGTGGCTGGCAGACCCCTCACAACAGTGCCCACTTTCTAACATGGCAGATCAATTTGTGTTGTATTATCATGTGACGGCGAAACGCTCCCGTTGATAGGACTGTAACCTCGTGCGAGAAGCGATCGTAGTCGACCGGTTAGCTCGCGAGTGTTGACGCGCGACGCGACGCGGTCGCGTTAAACGCCGTCGCGATGGCGGACCTCAAGAGCCCGCCGTTTAGTGACATCAAGCGGCCCGAGGAGGTGGTTGCGATGGCGATGAACGACAGCCTCAAGTTCGCCGTGCTGATCGGCCTGATCGAGGTGGGACAGGTGTCGAATCGGGAGGTTGTCAACACCGTGCTGCACCTGGTGAGTTGGAGTAAGCGCGTCGACGGACGAAGCGGCGCGGGATGCACCCGGTGCCGTCGTCGTCGTCGTCGTCGTCGCAGCAGTCGACGTCAACGTCGACGCCGACCTCGGCACCGCGGCTTCGCCCTGGCCGCGATTCCCGCCGCCTCGTCGCCGTCGTGACGACCAATCGGCAGCGAGTGACAGCGGGCGAACTGTCAAACGCTTGCCCCCCGCGCTTGCGATCGTTCGCGGCGACGATCCGCTTCTCCGGAGAGAATCGTTCTCTTCGATCGGGAAACCGCGGCTTCGATATATGCTCTTGGCCGCGTGTTTTTCCGATTTACCTTATATGTATGTCATTTATAATACGTCGATCGCGTCAGCAGCCAGCAGACCTTGGAAGTTTATTAGCATAGTTTCACCTTTACATTACGTCGATGACGTGAAACTTTTTTCTTTTTAATCCTGCTTCGATTTTATATTTGGGAGAAATATTGTCATTAAGTCTCTACATTTTGGCAGTACATTTGATAATGAATATTTGTTTAATATTTTAATATTATATACATCGTTAATATATGTTTATTGCGATAGCGAAGGGAACTTGGGGTTAATAATTAAAGCGGTAACTTAATGCAAACACTGAAACCCGATGTATTATTCCACCTGAGCGAAGGACCATATTCCGTCACTGCATCGCACATTAAGCCTCAAAATGTGCCGTATGATAATCGATTGTCATAATGGGCAAACATATGCTAGAATTGGCGGTTGCGTTTGCTAAATATGGGAAATGTGTACGGATTCGCATTCGCAACGAGACAAGGACGTCGTACATAATTACGCAAGCGTAATTATCATCGCATTTGCAAATGGATGGATGAGTTGGGAATTCGCGGAAGTATACGACACGCTTGTGTCGATTCATCCTACGTTGTTGCCTCGCCTATAACTTGTCGATTTTTTGCGGAGAATGATGACATATGTACCTGTCATTAAAGAAAATGCCTGGGACTGCGGATCTCCGGAGGATGAATCGAGGCGTGAATCTTGGTCGTTTTTTTTTTCCTTTTTATTGCCGAGAGCGATCGCGCGCTTTATTCGCGTCGCGTCGCGTATATTGCCTCGCATTTATTTCAACGGCGTTGCGCGATCACGCTTACGTGGATTTTTACGTGGCCACGTAGAACGACGTGTTCTTATCAGCGCCGCTCGTCAATCGTCCTTCGCGAGTCGGACACGATATACTATCGAGTATTATTATCGAGAGATCGCGCGCCTGTTAAATTGCTCGCGACGAATCGCGCAAGTTTATCCATGTGAGAGTCGAATCACTCGTCGATGAGCACTTGTGGAAAGATCGGAGCAACGCATAAACGAGCGTACGCGTGAACCCGCGGAACATCCACTCGTCCGCAAATATCTCGCACGTGGCGTCGATTAACGACTGACGTCGGCTCTCTACGAGCTGCATTTAAAGTCACTTATGCTACCATCAGGACTGCCGTTGTTGAGCACGCGTTTCTTCTCTCGAACTTATAGAGCCTCCCGTAATTTTTATACTTATATTTAATTTCGTTCGATGTATGTAGCCTCTCTTGTGAGCGCTTGGAAGGACGTACACATCGTTCGCGTGAACTGGAACACTCTCCTCTTTGAGGGAATACCCGTGTAAAATATACAAAAAGAATCTCCATTTACTTTTTATCGCGGTTTAATTTTAAAATGTTGCCATTTTTACGTAGCTTTTATTAAATTTAACGATGTTTAATTTGCAAGATTAATAACGTTAAAGAATGTTGGGTCGCGTAATTTTGTAGGTATTTGCTCGCTTCGAATAGATATTGTTATCGTTATCGGTAAATTAAAATTGATTCCAACTATTTCGAATAAGTACACATAACTATTCATTCAAATTGCAAATGTATAAATTGTAATGTACGATGATAATAACGCGTGAGGAATACCTCTGGTAAATTTACTACATTATATCTATTATATGCGCTCGTATATTTCTAAATTGTATATTACAAATGGAATATATGTATTTCATTTGCAATTTGTATTCTCGCAAACATTCGTATTTCAACATCAGTTGAATATTCCATATTATCGATTTCGGTTATATTGTTATTCTCTCCTCCTCTCCTCTCTCTCTCTGTCTCTCTTTCTTTTACCTTAAACATTTTTGAGTGTAAGCAAAAATTGATTTCCTATCATAATACATCGTCATCATTTAATAACGTTGTTGTCGTGATTATTAACGATCAGACAGGCATGACCATCAAGGCTAATATCAAACAGCAAGTTTCGAATTCGTTCGATCGAATTGGTTAGCAGTTGTCCGCAATCGCGCGGATTAATATCTATTGTGTAAGCTGTGGTATTTAATCTTTGCGCGAATATATTTAGAGATTGTAATCGTTACATATGCAACATCTACTTGAAAAGCTATGAAATATTTATATTGATATATAATCGATCATTTTATTACATTTCATGTAAAAATTATATAGCTCTTTTACAGTTTTAAAGTAATACAGAATTGTTTCTCAAAAATTTTACTTTAATTTTGTAATATTGTCATTCAAGTTTTGCATGTTACAGCAATTTAAAAACTGAAAAAATTTGAATGATATTTCTTTATCATATATATATATACGTGTGTGTGTAACGCTGTAGAAACTTAAATTCTATATTTATAGAATAAATTATTTTATCGGGAAGATTAATATTAGCATCTTAAATTTAATATTTCAGTTTCATTATATATTGTATACTTTTCTTAAATGATTTAAAATACTCTCTTTTAAAACATAAATTTTTTTAAATTTATGAATGTAATGATTTAAAGCTTGATATATTAACGATATATTAATATCAAATTACTATGTGAGTTTATGTTCGCAGTTTGTAATAGTTATTAATGTGAACTGTGATACATACAAACATATTGATATGACTTTAAAACGTGATATGTATGTAAAAATACCGTCAGGAGATTAAATAAATTTAGACTTTGCCGTAAATATTTTTGATAAATGTTTTAGCTTTTTTAATGCTTCTTTGAGCTGTAACATTTGACTAGGTTTCGTTATACTTGTGAGAGTATTTATATATAAATAATTTATACGTGAAGCAAAACATGTTAGCAAATATTAATTATGATATATATATATATATATATATATATATATATATATATATAGAGTATATCAATTGTGATAAAAAAATTGTATAATAATGATCTATTTTATTTTAAAAAACTCATTTTGTTGCAAAATGGCACGGATTTTTCCTGAATCTTATTTTTTTATCTGATGAAAATTCTTAATAGGTCATTGTGCCATCAATTGACAATAGCTTCTACAATTGGAAATCGAAGCAATGCGTTTACATAGGCGTTTACATATTTGGCATCGATCGATATGATGAATGTCCATGCAATAATCAGGTGCAAATTTGCGATTCCAATTCATCACCTGACATTATTCATACTAGCTCGATTGTGTTCTATATCATTGTTCCACATTACTTTATAAACCACTTGGAGTAGTCTCACTTTTTACAAAATATTTTATTTATA